GCTCCGTGCAGCACAGGAACGTGCCAGGACCCGCCTATCGCCCGGGACTACCGCTCCATACAGCACCGGGACTCGCTTGCTGCAGGGATTACTGCTCCCTACGGTCCCTCTCGGACCGGGACCCGCTTGCCACCGGGGTTTACAGCACCAGGACCTACACAGGGTCTCGTCCGCTGCCGGGCAGCACCACAGCCCCGCCGGCTCCCGCCTCCCCACGGCGGGCGAACCGCGGGTCCGGGCGCGCTGAGGCTGCGGAGGCTCCGGCTGCTGAGTTCCATCACAGAATCACGTAGGCTGGAAAAGTTGTCTGAGATTATAGAGTCCAACCTGTGACCGATCACCAGGTGGTTGTAGAATGAGTGATAAAGTCACAGCCCTGAGCCTCCTCCAGACTAAGCATCCCCAGGCTCCCTCAAATGCTCCTCATTAGACTTGTGCTCCAGTCCCTTCATCCTCTTCGTGTCCCGTCTCTGGACTGCTCCTCAATGTCCTTCCTGAATTAAGGGGCCCAGAACTGGACGCAGGATTCGAGGTGTGGCCTCCCCAGTGCCCAGCACACAGGGACAATCACCGCCCTGGTCCTGCTGGCCACACTATTGCTGACATACAATGCCAGGAGGCCACCGGCCACTTTGCCCACTTGGGCACACCACGGCTCGCGTTCAGCCGCTGTCAGTCGGCACTTCCACGTTCCTTTTCTGCTGAGCAGCTTTCCAGTCACTCTTCCCACCTGGATGGAATCCTGCTGCCCCGGTGCAGGCAGGAGCAGTTTTGGGGCTTCCCCTTCCCCATCCCTGCMTTGTGGCCCCTCAGTCCAAGGCTGGCACAGGAGTGTGGGGATCTTGTTTTTAATGGCAGCCGGGCACCTCCTGTGTGTATGCTGATTACAGGCCACTGACTACAAAATTGTTAACCAAACTGTAATTACAGGCTGCTCAGCACCTCGGCTGCTGTAGTACAGGGAATGTGTTTRGTCATCCTGACACTTGGCAGACGTGTGGGGAGGTGTGAAGGGCACGTGTAAACTTTGAAGTGATGATGGGGCTGCATCTTCACTATTAACATTATTCCCCATATTTACACTGTTTGCCTTCCACATAGGAAAGTTGTAAAATGCTCGTGGAAGGGGTTTTGCTGCTGGGTGTGTTGGCTCCAGAAATTCACCTGTGCCTTTTTGGGTAGGAGCTGCAGGGTGAGTGAGCACTTCCAGAAGTGATGACACTTYGTTTGCATCAATTCATTAATGATTTCAATAAAAAAATAAAATTACAGTATGCTTTACAAACAACATGCCTGATGGTTTGTTTTGGTAAGAAATCTGCTAAGGCCATTAAATTATTGCTACTTAGAATGAGAAGAGGAGCTTTTCCAGAATACACAATAATAATTCACACAGAATTTAGGGGAGAAAGGAATGTACCCATAWAGAATCATCAAATGGAAAACGGAGTTTATTGACTGAATGTTACTATCTTATATAGAATTTGTCCCATACATAACACTACAGATGATAGTGATTTATTAATAAAATATAGCACCATAAGCAGTTGGAAGCACCTTGGTGCAAGGWTAACACAGTATATGATAAAATTCCAAAATTACTGTATTTGGGGACAGCAYTTATAGTTAGCTATTGCAGATAACCTGTGTCTCTTAGGTTGAGATTGCAACTTCTGTGAACCACTCTGGGTACGTTATATCTGAAGGGTTGCACAGATGTCTTGGGATGCTGCATGGATATCTGGAAAGCTCGGTTTCTTTCTTGATCCTTAGCGTCTTGTGACACCTTGTGGAAACAGCTGGCATTACTCCCACAGTGAATTTCTTACAAATAMTACCGGGGTCTTTCATGATTTCCATATACAAATAAACTCATCAAATTAGCAAGATTTCTGAGGGTATTGAGCTTATTGGTTGGAAGACACAGGGAAAGGACCCTCTGATGCCCAATGCYCCTCAGAGCTCTTCTTTGTCCCACTGCCAGCTGAGAGTCTGCCAGGGGGAGTTGACTCTGTGACACTGTCACCCAGCAAAGGGACAAAGTCCTTCCCAGCAGGAGCTGTCCCTGCCAGGAGAAGGGAGGCTGTGAGTGACCGGGCTGAGCACACCCTATTCCTCTCTGGCCCTAAGGCCACGCTGCTGTCGAGGTTGGTCAGCCTCTGTCTGAGCCTCCAGGTTATTCGAGTCCAGCTTAGTGCTGCCATCCCCTTCTCTTCTCCCTTGGGGAAATGTTGCCCATTTCTTGGAATGCAACTGAGGGTCAAGGCTAAAGTTTGTTTCTTGTTCAGATCCTTTTGTTTTGCTGTTGTTTTTCCTCACGTCTCCCAAACTGGGGGAACCTGAGGGGAGCAGAGAGCGCACAGCTTGTGCCACAGTGGCTGAGGAGACCTGTAAAGAGGTTGTAGCCAGGTGAGGGTTAATMTTTTCTTCCAAGTAAYAAGACAAGAAGAAATGGCCTCAARCTCTACCAGGGGATAGAAWGATTGGATATTAGAAAAAATTCTCCATGGAAAGGGTTGTAACACACTGGAAACATCTCCACCCTGGGAAGTGGCTGATCCCATGAAGGATATAAAAGATATGTAGATRGGGTACTTAGGGACATGGTTTAGAGGTGGCTTTGGCATTACTAGGTTGGACTTGATAGTCAGGGTCTTTTCCAACCTAAATTATTCTATGATTCTATCTAAATGCAATT